CTTAGCTCTCAGAGATTGTGCGAGAATTTAAGACTACCAATCGTTTGCTGCTGACTGGAACACCCCTGCAGAACAACCTGCATGAGCTGTGGGCTCTGCTGAACTTCCTGCTGCCTGACGTCTTCAACTCAGCAGAGGTAAGAATCCCCTACAGGGAATTTCACTACACCTGCTTGGTCCTTAATCATGCTCACATTCTTCTCTGATATGAAGAAAACTGATTGTTTTGTATTCTGTTACTAATTATATTTTTGCCCAAAGGACTTTGATTCTTGGTTTGACACCAACAACTGCTTAGGTGATCAGAAGTTGGTGGAGCGTCTTCACACTGTATGTATTAAATATCCTCATCCCGGCTTCCTGCCAAACTCTTTAAATTGTAAGTGTGTTACTCTTTTTGGGTTAAAGCACCGTTTGACCTGCTGTTTTTCGTGTAGGTACTGCGTCCTTTCTTGCTTCGTCGTATAAAAGCAGATGTAGAAAAGACTCTGCTTCCGAAGAAAGAGATCAAGATGTACGTTGGACTGAGTAAAATGCAGCGAGAGTGGTAAGTATCTTAGGTTATTTTTGAAGTTCATACATTCATTTCTGAACTTCTATATTCTATACAGTTTGATTTGTTAAGGGCATTACGCAGTTTACACCAGTGTGTAATAGAAACCAATGTCTCAACTCATCAGGTACACAAAGATTCTGATGAAGGACATTGACATCCTGAACTCAGCGGGTAAGACGGACAAGATGCGTCTCCTCAATGTTCTGATGCAGCTGAGGAAATGTTGCAACCACCCGTACCTGTTCGACGGAGCTGAGCCCGGTCCCCCCTACACCACTGACCTCCACCTGGTGGTAAACAGTGGCAAGATGGCGGTGCTGGACAAGCTGCTACCCAAGATGAAGCAGCAGGGTGTGTAGATGTTCTCTATGGATTTTCTTTTGGGAAATGAAAAACAAGGAGACACAGCTGCTTTTTTTTTTTTTTAACTCTCCTTTGACTGACGCGACCAACTTTCCTTCTTTCCAGGTTCTCGTGTGCTCATCTTCAGTCAGATGACCAGGGTGCTGGACATCTTGGAGGACTACTGCATGTGGAGGAACTACGGCTACTGCCGCCTGGATGGCCAGACGCCGCACGAGGAGAGACAGGTATGGTGCTTGTGTATGGGATGAGATGTTGAGGCAGATTACAGTGGAGTGAAATGAATGTCACCCTCATTAATAAGTGTGTATTTTCAGATCTCTATCAACGCATACAACGAGCCCAACAGCTGTAAGTTCATCTTCATGTTGAGCACCAGAGCTGGAGGACTGGGTATCAACTTGGCTACAGCTGATGTGGTCATCTTGTATGACTCCGACTGGAACCCTCAAGTCGACCTTCAAGCCATGGTTTGTACTCTGAACTTCTTATTCAGTTTATAGCTGTAATAGGATCATAGCATCTAAAAGTAGCTCTGGTGCTGTATAACTTCAGATGCAAGTGGCTTAATCAGTTTTGTCTTCATTCTGAATATTTCAGGACCGAGCTCACAGGATTGGTCAGCAGAAGCAGGTACGCGTCTTTCGTTTCATCACTGAAAACACAGTGGAGGAGAGGATTGTGGAGAGGGCCGAGATGAAACTGCGCCTGGACTCCATTGTCATCCAGCAAGGTATCTCATCATTCCCTGACTTCCTAGAGAAATGTTATATTGACACATTACGGAAATATCAATTGAAGATTAAAGAGTTGAGCAAAACACGAAGTTGCCTTCTGTTTGTTTAACAGGAAGACTGGTGGATCCCAGTGCGAACAAGCTGGGCAAAGATGAGATGCTGTCCATCATCCGCCACGGTGCCACACACGTATTCGCTTCCAAAGAAAGCGAGATCACGGACGATGACATTGATGAAATCTTGGAAAGAGGTGAAAGGAAGGTGAGTCTGAATGCTTTATATAAAACAAATCTAATGTTTTTTTTTTTTTTTTTTTTTTTTTTAAATTTGCCATGAAGTTAAAATTCTGCCCTTTGTTATTTACTAGACAATGGAGATGAAGGAGAAACTGTCTTCACTGGGTGAGAGCACTCTGAGAAACTTCACCATGGACACAGAGAACAGCAGTGTGTACACATTTGAAGGAGAAGATTATAGAGAGAAGAAAAAGGTAACTATTCACATTAATAACTATTTGCAACACAGTAATACTATTTACTATACTGTTTCTAATGAACTTATTCCAAAGCCATGCACCTATAAGTCTTTTCCATGTTCCATGCACCTGTGCATGTGTGAGAAAAATTCCTGTTACACGCTGAAGAAGAGCATCTGCGCGAACCGTTCGTGTTGCAATCAAAATAAATTTTGGAGTGCTGTCCTAATTGTTTTTCTTTTCCATGTTTCCCATATTTGATGCTTCACTCAGGTCATTACCAACTGGATCGAGCCGCCCAAGAGAGAAAGGAAAGCCAATTACGCAGTGGACGCATACTTCAGAGAAGCTCTGAGAGTCAGTGAGCCAAAAGCACCCAAGGTAGGAAAATATTACTATACTCACACTGTTGGGATAAAAGTAATGAATCCAACTGAATGTGGAATTTTCTGCTTGTGGCATAACTTTTTTTTTTTACTTAATCTTCCAGGCTCCTCGTCCTCCCAAGCAGCCAAATGTTCAGGACTTCCAGTTTTTCCCTCCTCGTCTTTTTGAGCTTCTAGAAAAGGAAATTCTCTTCTACAGAAAGACCATAGGCTACAAGGTTTACAGTTCTTTCAAAAAGGAAACACACTTGTGATTTGCCACTGATCTTTAGAAGAGGAATGGATTTAGCAATGTCAGTTTGTGTTTGTGCCCCTTAAGGTTCCACGTAATCCAGAACTGCCAAATTCAGCCCAGGCCCAGAAAGAAGAGCAGGCTAAGATTGATGAGGCCGAGGCTCTCACAGAGGAGGAGCTAGAGGAGAAGGAGAACCTGCTACAACAGGTAGGCCATATCCTGCTAAATGCAATCACTTCACAATGGGCCACATGTCAAAATTAAACATGCCATGTCTAGCTCTTCAATATGCATATGTTGATCAACTTTCCCTCCATTAAAGGGATTTACTATCTGGAACAAACGTGACTTCAACCAGTTCATCAAAGCCAATGAGAAGTGGGGAAGAGATGATATTGAGAACATCGCCAGAGAGGTCGAGGGAAAGACTCCAGAGGAAGTGATGGAATATTCTGGTAATGACTTGATTTATATTTCCTTTTTTTTTTTTTTTTTTTTTTTTACTAAAGTTTTACTTCTGTGCATATTAAGTGATTCTCTGTTTGTGTTTGTTCCTCTAGCTGTTTTCTGGGAGCGCTGCAATGAGCTGCAGGACATCGAGAAGATCATGGCCCAAATAGAGAGAGGAGAGGCCAGAATCCAGAGGAGGATTAGCATTAAGAAAGCACTTGACTCAAAGGTAACTTCCTGTCAAACATTTTGGTATTAATTTCTTGTTTAAACTACCTAGTTAACTTTATCTCATTAAGTTATGTTTTACTGATCTCATCATGATTCATAAATGGTTTCTCTGCTGTGCCCAGATTGGTCGCTACAAGGCTCCGTTTCATCAGCTGCGTATCTCCTATGGCACCAACAAAGGCAAGAACTACACAGAGGAGGAAGACCGTTTCCTCATCTGTATGCTTCACAAGCTGGGCTTCGACAAGGAGAGCGTGTATGACGAGCTACGTCAGTGCATCCGCAACTCACCGCAGTTCCGCTTCGACTGGTTCCTCAAATCTAGGACTGCCATGGTAAATCTTAAACTTCTTATGTACCATCTTCTTTTAATTCTTTTTCTGCATAATGTGTACAAAAATGCCTAACAATCACAAATATGTTTGGTGTGAGTTTAGGAGCTTCAGAGGCGATGCAACACCCTGATCACACTGATCGAGAGAGAGAACATGGAGCTGGAGGAGAGAGAGAAGGCTGAGAAAAAGAAACGGGGCCCAAAAACCAGCTCAGTAAGTTGCTACTTGGTTCATATTTGATCTAGGGCCAAAGATAGAATGACAAGATGTGTGATACCTACCATTGAGTTCTCAAATGTTGAGTTGTCCCTGAATTTCTTTCTGTCTAAAGTTGCAATTACCTTTCCAAATCAGAAACATTGTATAGACTACAAATTTACCCTGAAACGTTTGGCCTTTTTAATATTTAAATATTGTTGTCTGATTTACTCTGATATGGACACATTCAGAAAATCAAACTAAGTAGAAAGGTTACCTTCACATCCCCATCTTTGTCTGAAAGGAGTTTAGTTTTATTTCACCGCTTTTGAAGTTTATCCTGCTAATTATTTTTCCTCTACTCAGGCCCAGAAACGGAAGTCAGAGGGAACTCCAGATGGTCGTGGACGGAGAAAAAAGCTGAAGTTGTGAAGCTGTTGACAACTTGAATCTACTGAATACAGAGAGTGACAGCCAGCTCTGGTATGGTTAGTCCTAGTGTTTGTTTCACAGGCTGCGATAGTGTACTGTGTAAAACCCTCCGATGGACTGAACTCATTGTATTAGGTTTAGGAAGTGCTCCATTACAAGCCTGCCTTGTTGTCACTTAACCGAATGCTGCAGCTGTGCTGGTTTAGTTTGTTTGCTAGTCTTTTTCTTTCTTTTTTTACTAGTACTAAATTGAAATACGTGTATTTATGCCTGTTGGTTGTACCACATTCCATTGCTCTATACAAGATGTACCCTTTTTATTTTGAAGACTGTTTTTTGTTCTTTTATCTTCCTATGTGAAGTAGAAAATGTCATTTTGAACATCATAAATAAACTTCTTTTTTTTTAATATGTGTACACTCCAGTAAGTAAGACACCGATTCAAAAAAAGACATTTATATTTGGCAGTTGAAGTGTAAATACATCCAAACTATTGACACAAATGAATAAGCCATGGAAGTCCACTAACACTTGGCACATTAAAATATACTGTCAGCTGCAGGAGATGGAAATATAACTTTAACTGTACTTGTTTTTTTTTTTTTTGTTTTTAGGACTTGAATTAACAATCCAGAAAGACATTTTTCAAGTTTAACCAGGGTGTAATAATACCATTTCTCATAGTCCCACATTGATATGTACACAGAGTTTTGCATTTGAGTTTGACTACAGTGACCTATAAAAGGTTAAAAAAACAAGGAAAAGTTTTGCGTTCTAAAAATAAACTTAAATGACTTACAATCCCTTTCAATGACCCTATATTGGTATATTTACTCAGCAGTGGGTATGTATACTGCAGGCTCTCTAGAGCACAACAGTATCTACTAAAAAAAAAAGAATTCCTCACTTAATCATTCATTTAGGTCAACCAACATTCAGTACATTTTCCTCTACTTGGCAAAAACAAAGCATTACATTTCTGTAATAAAAACACTTGGTAAACTAATTTTAACGGAGAGAAAAATAGAAAAGTATTTTCTTCATGAAATTCAAACAAAATTGCTATTTACTGAAATACTTGCATTTTCTGAACTGGGATTTTCATGCATTTGCAAACTGATATAGCAAGATTTTTTACAACTTGTCAACCTTTAGAGCAGGTGAAACATTTTAAGGGTCTTTCACATACATCCATGAATCATAATAGATTGCAAAAAGAACCTACAGTACTTAAGAGCAAGAACTAACCTTAATCAGAGATCAGTGAACCTCTGTAAACTGGTGCATTTTTGCATTTAGGCCCAAAGCTCTGACATATTGTGCTGTCCACAGGTTGTACTGGGCGCTATTCAGTGCTACTAAAGTTGGGCTTCGAAGGCACAAAGGTGGAGGAGACTATCATAGTCTTTTTTTTTTAATAGGGGGTGGATGGGGACCACATCTAGACCTCAGAGTTGTCTGAGCTGCCCCACATACTTGCTGAGCCTTGGCTGTAGGCAGATGAGGAGGAGGTGGTGTAAGGTGGCAACTGGATCTTCTTTTCCCTCTTCTTGCGCCGCAACAGCAGTATGACAATGGTGGCTATGAGGCAGATGAGGAGGATCAGACCTGCGAGGCCCACTAACATGGGAATGGTGGAGGTGTCCACCGGCTCTCTGCCAGAACTCTCCAGCAGGGGGCGGTCCAGGAGGGGGCCACTTTGAGGGGACCAGGGCTGGCGCTGGTTGACCACCATCCGGTCAGCTCTGTCCAGGGCAATGTGTTGGATGTTGGTACCCCGGTTGTTTTCAACACCAATGTCCTGGATAACAGAAGAACTAGAGATAGCAGGGGCGGCACGGCGGTGGCGATTAGTGGCTGTTATGGAGGTCTCAGGCTGCTCAACAGAAGACATGCTGTGATGCAGGTACTCCACACTGCGCTTTCCGATATTGCGATTTGCATTTTGTCGGGAGCGGACTGTGTAAATAGTGTGGATGAACCATTCTCGACCAGCGGCGACCTGCAGAAGAAAACACATGGTTACTGGTTTGTATGTGTTTACGCGTTACATCAATAAACCCTATTTTAAAAATCATACAAACCTGGAAAAGTGGAGATGAGGAGAGTGTGAAACCATCTGATCCTGGCTGTCTGACTAATGGCAGACCTCCAGGAGTGTCTTGAGCCAGGGTGGCCTTAAAGGAAACATCACCAAATGCTGAGGCTTGAGTCTCTGGCTGGGCTTTGTCCTGAAGAAGAAAAAACACACATCAGATCTGTTTCATTCTTCTTTATGCCCCTAAGATATCCTCAAAAGATCAAGTTCATTTGTTCCATCTTACGAGGATCTTGAATCTGTAGAGCAGTGATGGAGCATCTGCCAGACAGCCATACTCCTTGTTTGTGGGGTTGTACTTGGGGACGTAGCCATCTGCTCCAGTGCAGAGGAAGACTTTCTCAATACTGCAGGAGAAGGAGTCACCAAGGTTCTGAACTGGGTCCACCATCACACGACCATAGATAGGGGAGCCTGAAGCAAGGAGTAGATAAAATGGTTAAGTGGGACTATATCATGGGATAACTAGAGGGTGTATGGTTTTAAGCTGTAATGTTTACTAAAATCCATCAGGTGGCAGTGTTGTAGTACCATCCGAAAAAGCAGCATCAGTCCCTTCTCCGAAGCCCATGGAGCCATCTGACAACCACAACTCTTCTTGGACAGCAAGAACATCTGAGTGTTGAGGCTAAACTCAGCTGCCACTGGGTCGCTCACCTGGAACACAGAAAGAAGGTTACCATAGACAAAATGGTTCCTTGGTTTTTGTGAAAACACCCATGTTAACTAGTTTTGTAGTACTGGTAAATGTATTGAGAATCTACCTTTAGAATCTACCTGAGAAAATGTTAAAACTTCCTGGGAAACTTTATGTTTAATGTAAATTAACCTTTCTCGACTGATTAATTGAAAGTTGTTTCAAATGTTTAAATGAAAGAAATGTATCGACTAGTAGAAGAAGCAATTGAAAACAACATTTGAAGTCTCAATGATTGTTAAGATGACAGTTTTACCATGTCATCTTAGAGAAGTCAATCTGTAATAATACGTTGATCCTGACAGCTTAATAGTGTGAGAGAATTATCAAGACTGACCTGCTGGAAGCGAATGTCCATGTCAAATGTAAGGGGCTCTCTTGGGTGGCACACAGGAGGGATGCTGAACTCCCCATTTGGTGATGCAATGCAGGGGATCATCTTCACTGTGTAGGTCCCAGAGTAGTCTCGCACCTACAAGTCACACCAAAATACAGGGAAATTGTTCTGACCGTCCAAAACCTCTTTTATCATTCATCACAATAGCTTGAAAGTTTAGATTGTCTATTTCCTTACGGCAAAGTCTGAGACAAAACTCCACTGCTGCATGGGCTGGTTGTAAGTAGGCTCAGTCCTGACCAGGGCAAGAGTAAACGTCAGCCCAGGGTGGTCAGCACACATCACCATGGATGACACGCTGGTCCCTGAAAACAAACAGAAAGTCATAAATCTCTTCAGTCGTGTTTTTTCTGAACCAGAACTAACTATACATAGATTGACCTCTACATTGTTTGTGCCAGTAGCTACCTAACTCTTAACACTGCATGGTCATTTTGACATTAGCTGAAATTACATTATTCACTTTCACACAAGAATTACCGTTATTATGGGACTCCAAAAACAGAGGAGATGATGTAGGCATAAGGATTGTCCAATAGGAGGTTGCTTTTTAGTATGACCACACTGGGTGGGTTTAAATTATATGTCTGTTTAAGTGTGTGTGGGTGTCGACTTCCTACCTTGATGAGACATAACAAACTGTCCCCTGAAGCGAGCCTCTGTCTTGAAGTTGACCACCAGGCGCCCCTCCTCATTTATACGCATGCTGGTTGGGTACATGGCTCCTGCGAGAACAGAGAAAAATATTTAACAAAGTTTCACATATGGATCCTTCTGTAAGCATCTACAGTAAGCAGCAGGAGTCTCAGTATATACCTTGTAGCTCAGCCTCAGGTGGGGAGCCAATGCCATCCTGCCACAAAATTGCAGTATCATACACAAAGGTGAGTTTGAGCTCTGACTGCAGGTCAAAGTGTTGCCAGCCTCCCACAGCCACCGGAGAGTGGAAGACATAAGACACAAACAGGGGAACTCGCAGGGTGACGTAGGATTGAACCAAGTTCAGCACCTATAAAAGAGAAAATTCAGACATTATCAATGCAAAAGTAGGCAGATTAGTATCTCTATGAGTTTAAAGGCTTGTTCATGCCAAACAGATCGTCTGTGAATTCATCTATGTTGTTAAACTCATGGTTAGACATACTTGATGACAACTGACTCAGTGCAAGTATAATTGGAGATCTACTGTTAGCTAGCCAGGGACATGCTTATATGTCCCAAAAGTTTTACTTCTTTCTATTGTCTTTGTGCTAGCCTTCTGGAATTGTACTACATGTAATATTAGTTTTCTTATAATAGAGAATCAGGGAAATTTTCTGTGGTAGCATGTTAACTTTAATTTACTGGTTCGTTTGATTATTTTTGTGACTGGCAAGCTCGCCTAGCCAGCAGGAAACATACTAATGCTATCAGTCAAAATAGCTCCATGGTTGTTGTTTTTTCACTACTGAATCATTTCATCCCAAGAATTTTCGTTGGATTGTACAAAAAGCCCTCTAAAATAGCTAGGCTGCTTCCTACTCGGCTTCAAGATCATCCTCCACTTTGGACCAGTGCTGTAAACACAATTTACAACTGGCCAATGGTTTATGCGCGTTTGTCAAGTTCCTCAAAGTTGGACTTGCTGTTAGAGATTAGAAAGAATAACTTGAAGCTTTGGGGTGAATTCACTGATCACTAAATGCTGATGGGTCGGGGCATTTAGAAGTTAGATTATCTGTGCTTTTGCTTGTTTGTGTGTTCTACCTGTCCATCAGTGCCAATGGAGCCTCCACAGTCATTCAGCAGCTCTGACATGTCGTAGTAGCTAGTGAATTCCCAGAGACAAGCCTCTAAGTTGAGGTTCCTGTAGAAGCGCAGAGAGTTGGCTGAGCGCATAGGAGTGCTGTACTGGTAGGGTGAAGTCTCGCCAATGATTTCAGGGTTCTTTGTTGCATCCGTGATAAAGCCATATCCTGTTTGGATCTCATTGAAGTCGAGCAAGTTGGAGCAGCGATGATTGCCAACACGGGTGCCATCTGGGCTCAGGGTGAGCTCAAAGTTGGACATAGGTCTTGTGGAGATCACTGGTAACATGCCTGTTAAGTGTGGAAATCTTGTTAATTTTCTTTGGCCTTTAGGTTTCTAAACAATAATGACTAGAGCCAAGGTTGCAATTAGTGCTTGCTGCTCACCATCCATGTGAGGCATGTTGACAGTCAGTTTGATCAGGTTGGGAAAGTCTGGGTCATCAGGACCAGTGTAGCGGATCTTGGCAGAGAAAGGCTCAGCTCCAACAGTGCCTTGGACACGAGGCTGACACATACCTGCAAAGAGTTTTATGCTATTCAAACCAAGGAACTCTATACCAAGTGTAAATATTTGCCGCCTTCCACGTTTCATTAATCTTTCACCTACCTTCCTCCTTGCTGATCACAGAAATCGGGCTGGACAGCTCCAGGCCGGCGTCTCCATTAGCATTGAAGGCTCTTGCTGCACATTGAACTCTTGAACCGGCCTGGAAGTAGATTGAATCCAAAGTGATGGACTTGGTGTTAGTGAAGAAAGTATTGGTATCCACCTCCCTCATGGGGCTGGTCACTCCATCTGACCCAGTTGGTGCGCTGACAAGCCAGCGATACTGAGTGAGAGTGTCGTTGATGTTCTCCGCAGAGCAGATGGAACCAGTTTTGTCAAAGTCATGGTACTTGGGGTTGCAAGCCTGAAAGAAGCGCAAAGGTAGAAGAAAACTATAAATAAAGAAATGTGGATGTTTGCGTGTTTGCGTGTTTCTCAAAAGCAGAAGAAGCTCAAACTTACCGTCACACACACAACAGGGTATCCATTGGCAGGGTTGGGCTTTTCTTTGGTTTTAACTGTGTCATCATACATGAGCAGGGAGACCACCCGAGGCACAGCGGGGAAGGTAACATCTGCCACACTGTCCATTTCTTCAATGTACACAATGGCCTTGTTCATCTATCAAGAAGAGGAAAGGCAAGTTAGATGGTTAAAACTTTAAAAAAGTTTAAATCAATCTGTCACAGAGTCCATTAAATTCCCCTGCCAAGGAAGTTGAGGTTTATGCAAGTGTTCCGACAAAGACATAACCCATTTGATTCCAGAGGAATTACTGTTACTTCAAGACCAATCTCTGAAATCATAAACTACTGTAAGATAATGATAAAGCCTCTGGGAACAGCAGCACATTTTCCAGGATACCTGGGCCAGGATTTATTTTTCTTTTGGCCTGTTATTGTGTACAGTCTGACTCATAACTTGAGACCCGAGAAATGAGTTAGACTTATGAGACATGTTCTATAACTGGATTATTATTTGACTCATTTACAGATATCTGTTCTAAGAGATCAGTGAAAAAAGCATAACTGTCGTGAAATGACAGCCAAGTGGTTCTGATTTTGTATAACTGCAAATGGGTTCTGCCTTTTTGCCCTCAGCATGGAGGTTAGAGGGTGGTACTACTTAGACTAAAATATGAAAGCATAATGCTTCACCAAATACTACCTTTGCCAACAGATTCTGAATTTATATACATAGTCTGTTAACAAAATTACTTCAAGACAAATTTACAGGTGTATAAACGCTTTAAAAAAACTTCATTAACAAAATTTAGTTAGCTACTTTTATGAATTTGGATCCGTCACATGATCAGTGCATGCCTGATGTGGAGTATATGGGTAGAATGGCACAGTTCTGTTTATAGATTTGTCTACTGTTTGCCTCTGCTGGGACATTCCCTTCAGCATCTCACTCCATGGGGAAAAGCTTTTAATAAGACTCTTTGGTTGGGGGGGCGCTGACAGCACCGCCAGCTGCTGCTTGGCTATTTTAACACAGCGCATGCTCACGTGTGTAGGTATGCAGCACTGTACTGTATGTGTGCACACATAGGTCTTGCTACTGGTTTATATTTGTTTGTGTGTGTGTGTGACCTTGTGCCCTTTGTGTCACCTGTATTTCAGCTACCATGTTGTCATCAGACTTCATGTGCACAGTGAAGGCCTCTCTCATCTCTCTCTGACCGTCATATAGGATCTCAATCTCCACAAAGTGTTCCTTCTCGCCTTCCTTGAACTCAACATCTTAGTCAAAGAGACAATGAAATGGGATGATCAGAAACATACAACAACATTTTTCAACCAAGGCGCACAATTGTGTCACTGTGTAGCCACAAAACCACGTTCTTACCCTCTGACAGCGGGTTGTAGTCTTCTCCAGAGGTTGCAGATCCGTCCTTGGTGTGCACTCTTACAACTGAGACCTTTGAGGAGTCTCCAACACGCAGGATGGGAATCTTCACTATCGCAACATCCCCTTTAATCTGAGGTTCACGCACACTGTACTTGATCTCAGAGAAACGGATAATGGGTTCTAGAAGAAGAATAAAACGCACATGAAAATGCCTTAGACATGCCTCTTCTTAGCCTTACATAGAAACAAGAACAAGTGTCATACAGTTAACAAATTAATTGTTATTAATATTAAATATTTAACATTGTTGGAAATAGGTTCTTATTTTCAGTCTATTTTTAAAGGTTGTTTGAATTATTTTTGCTTTTGTATTGCAAAGTTTCACAATAGTTCAATGTTTTGATTCATGTTGATGAAGTACGTACTGTCTTTCTCATCTGTGACTGTGACCAGCGCCTCTTTCTGCTCCCCAATGGATGCACCATATGGAGACTTGCTCTTTGGAGTTCCCAAGACAAGTCTAAACTCCTCATCCTCTTCATGCACTGAGTCATCCATCAGGCTAACCACACACGGCTTCTCTGTTTCACCTGGAGACAAATGGTTAAGATGCTTAGGTGAGTGTGATCAAGATTTAAAGGAGCGGGGCGATTAAGGTGAAGAGGGACTTCGCACCTGGCAGGAAAGTGATGACTGATGCCTCAGTATTGGGTCTTTCACTGTAGTCCATCATGACCTGAGCAGAGCCTTGGCGGGTGTAACAGCGCACTGTGGACCTGAGGTTGATGTCTCCACTGCGGTACACTATGGCTGTTACCTCCCCTTCAGACTCATCCACTTTGTAGCTTCCTTCTTTAAACTGAACCTTTGGCACTGTAAAGACATTATTGAAAATATTACAATAGTCCCACTTCTTTGAAAGACGTTGCTCTAAAGGACCTTCCCTGCTTTTCAGGTTTTTTTTTTATGTGTTTGACACTCACAGTCAGTGAATGTATCATTGATGGTGATGATTGTCTTGCTTGGTTCTCCCAGCACAGCATTCATGGGCATCCTTAACACGAGGTCAAAGGTCTCAGGCCCCTCTAGCTCGGGCTGACCCAGATCATCAAGGATGGTCACTCTGAACGTCTGCATCGTCACTCCAGGAGCAAAATCCAGGTTGCGACTGATGCCGACGTAATCTAATCCAGCTGCAAGATAGTGAAGAGACCATGTTCACCTTTGATGCAAAAAATACAAAAAAATAAAATAAAATTAATGCTGCTGTTCATTTTAAACTGCTGATTTTACCTTCTGCAGAAACAGGATCACTCTTCCTGGAGCGGACAGTGACGGTAGCAGTCTTGGACAGGTCTGTTCCTGTCCTCCAGACCTTTACCTCAACGTAGCCTGAACTCTCATCCACGACATACTCAGGCTCCCCAAAATACAAGGAAGGCTCTGTGGGAAATGGGAATGATAAGAATATACATGATTTCTGCTTTCTGATTTAGCACAGGAAGAGAGCTGTCATGCCTCTTATCCTGTTCTCCTTTCTAACCTTCTTTCCCCACTTATCTAAATCCAGACAGCTCTGTCTGAACTCTACGCCAAAGGGCTGAGGATACACCTGAATAATAAGGTGCTTGTTTGTGTGCGCCCACTTTAAGTTGCTCTTTTGAAGGGATGTTCCCTGTTTCTGATGATAGACCTGCTGATAAGCAGTGTGGTAAGGCTGGCAGAGACAGAGACAGAGAGGCAACCGTCTACTTTGCAAAGGCAGAGGGCAAGAATTCAGACTCATCTGTCCTCACTTCTGTATAAAGAGGGTTTTCATCACACAGTGTCCAGCCAATTCGCTTAGAGATCAACTGAAATAGCTCCAAATTCATGTATAAAGCTTATTTTGGACTTTAAAATTAGGCAAAAACAAGATTAAGAACTATCTTCTGGAAGTGAAAATTTCAATTTTATACAGTGGTACTACTTTTGAACATCAGTAAAAGTTATTCTCCAACAATAATAAAAAAGGTTAACTATATAAAAAAATTACAACAATCAGAGAATCTGCAGCTACTGCATTTATTTTTCTAGTAGGGATTTTTGTCTATGTTCCCAAGGCTCTGTGTCTCCTAATATAGGGCTTTTTTTGCATTTCAATTTCATTTCATTTGCAAAACAATAAGGAGATTGTTGTTGAAAAATGCTGTTTCAGTGGCAAAAATCTGTTCAGACGATGTTGATATATCAATGTTTAAAACTGTGAAAACTTTTTTCTAGCAGATTCAGGGCAAATCTGTAGTTTTCAAAAAACACAACATCAGTTGTCACCAGTTGACCTGACAAGACAATGAACAAGCATTTGACCTTGGACAAAATGCAAATGTTGTCATAACAATCTCCATTATTTGTGCTTAAGCAGAATTGGCACATCTTGGGTTTCATTTAGAATTTTGACTGATGCTTCAACAGGCATCTGATGCTAAAGGGAGGACTTCTGGCATGCTTTCAATGCCTTTCAGCCTCCAAGACAGCTATTTAGTACCAGGGAGGATGTCAAAGGGGGGTTGTAGAAGGGGGAAGTGAGTGCCAACATGGCAAACTTAAAGATCAGTGTGGGGACGAGCCAGACAAATACAGTAACAATGGAGGCTGGATGTTGGCCAGAGTCAAAACCACAAGTTTACTCAGGCACGCAGATGGTTTGACACACACACACACACACACACACACACACACACACACACACACACACGATCAGATTTATGGCGGGGTATCACTTCAGGACCCACCAAGAAGTGGAACCACAATAGAGGTTTACACTGAGGAGTCTTCTTTTGTCTCTTCACATGTCTGGGAATGCACGCTGATTATTTCTACATAAAGTCAGATTGCACTCCTGTTCCAACTAGGTTAGAAGGTTTTGTCATTAAAACAGAGTCAAAGAAATTAGCCTTGGTGAAAAGTTTAAAATACAAATGGAAATGTAAGGAACACATTATATTACTCATATAAAAGAAACAAAGGAAATGGTTTGAGGGTTACAAATTGACAATTTTTCTTGAAACATTTCATGTGATGGATCAAATCAAACCAAAGGCGTATTTGTGATTTATAACTTAAAAAACTAATTATTTCCCAAATGTGAAGTGTATTGTCTTTAAAATTAAACAGTTCGCTCCAAATTTGAAAGGATATCTATAGATTAAAGTAAATATTGCATCACTTTAGGTACGCTAGGTGATTTCCAAATTTTGACCACAGGAAACCTACATTGAACATTCAACCTAGGAATAAACTTTGTTAATAAAAACACGACTACCAGATAGTGTGTGGTGATAAATGAATTTGTCATCATGTCACTTCACACCACCTGTAGCGACAACAAACAAGTCCAGGAAATTTTTATCGTCAAAGGAGGAATTTTAGGAATTTTAGGGCTCCCATTTGTAAAATGTGTTCAAACATGTTCTTAAAGTTGTGGTTAGGTAATTTTTGAATATGAACAAAGGGAAACTGATATTGATCTTTTGACCTTGGTGAAAAAAACCCCACATTTATCACATTTATAAATAGCATAACAGGGTGATTTTGTATTCAAACACATGATTACAAATGACAACGGATTGGGTTTTTGGTCATGATCATTTGACTGAAGACCACATGTCACTGCAACAAGCCAGTCAAGGAAATTAGCCTTGGTGAAATGTTGAGAGAAGAAGAATGTAAGGAAGAAACTACTTTAAGGTCACAAAGGGGGTAACTGACAAATTTAAGGGCTACAATTTGTCAAATCTGTTAAGACATTTTGTTTAACATATCAAATCAAACCAATGGCATATTCATGATTTATAATTTTAAAACAAGTTTCTAGTAATTTTAACAGGAACAGGTTATATAGCCCTGAATAATGGGGAAAGAGAAATAACATGCTGATCATTTGGATTCCCTGCACAATAGTCCCTGTCTCTGCACCACCTGCCTTTTGGTCCCTGCAGACAAAGGATATGCCCTCTGTTTCCCCTGAGCTCCTCTGAATGCAGACGAGGATGAGGGGTCGCTGGAAGAGCACAAAGAGGTTTGAAGCCCCTTTTATCTGTCAGGCAGTCTACAGCGTAGCATTACATCCACTGAGGCTGCTATTCTCCCTCTCAACACCTGTCTATTGTTATCCTGTTCCTAACACGGAGTGACAGACAGAGTGTGCTGGATAAATGAAGCAGAATATATAAACATAGTAGCAAAGGAAGGGTTAATGGACCTGAAAATACTGTAAAGCCATTAAGGTCAGTACAGTATGGGACGGTATGTCAGGCTTTCACTCTGGGGACTGTGGTGGTTTTGCCTGTCTGGGGACTTTTGGTGGCTTACTTGTGTGCAGGCAATGTAGAACATCAGAGAGGGGGTTAGCAACTAGATAAACTACACTTGCAATTACTGCCATAGAACAACAGGAACACATGGTGATAATGAGGTATTTCAAAAACCCTGAGATGGATGATAAATATATTATATATTATCCATCCATTCATGGTTCCATCCATCCATCCATCCATCTTGACACCCAACCAAATTATATTTCCATTCATCTATCAATCAAAACTTGATCCTAATTATACCACAGCCCAGCTCTGACCAGTTTTACAGGTAAACACTCTCTCAACTCACCGTCATCGCTGTCTGCCAGAATAGTGACCTTGGCGGTAGGGAAGTTGGCGCCCAGCTGTCCTCCCATGGGCATGCTGAGGCTGACATTGAAGCTCTCCTCCTCCTCATACAGGGAGTCGTCGATGATTATAATACGGCAAAGCTTTTCTCGTTCGTCCTTGTCGAAACGCAGCACGCTGGTGTGGTCCTCTGGTCTGGTTATGTAGTCGGAGTAGGACAGAACAGTGCTAGGGATGGTGCCGGTGGCAGTAGCTGAGGAGTTATGGGAACAGAGAGAAGACAGGAGATTAAACCGTTTATTAGAGAAGTCAAACAAGGTTCAGTTATCCTTTTTATCATGTTGAACTTCAGCCATTTTTGGGGGGGAATCATTCGAAATAGCCACCTTGTCTTTCCAATATTAATAATAACAAATCGGTTCATCTTACCCTGCTGAGTGAAACAGACAACCATGAGTTCCTGGCTGGCATCTCCTGAGCGTCGCACTGGCACCAACAGCTCTCCAACATCCTCCTCAATCTTGAACTCTGCTTGAGGAATGAAGACTGTTGATTCTGTTGGGGAAGAGAAAAATGCATGATTACTTATCACACACGCAAGTCTTTAAATTAAAAATGCTTCATTACTGGAGGTAGTTCTAATTTCATATGTATTTATTAATATGCTCATACCATCTCCAGGATCCACAATCTCGACCGTTACAGTGTCAGGGTACTCCAGCACAGCCATGACGGGGTCTGACAGCTGAATCTCAAAGGTCTCTGAGGTCTCAAACTCCTGGTCTGTGAAGATCTTCACCTTCCAGGTTGCTGTAGTCTGGCCGGGGTTGAACTGGACTTGCTTCTGTGCTTTACCCCGGAAGTCCTTGTCCTTTTCAGCTGTTCCATCCTTAGTGGCAATACCTGAGGGAAAGGGAAGTACATGCTTTAAGTGAAAAGAGATTGAATAGTTTATTTCAATTGTTGCGGGACTTGTTGGATAATTCTTATGGGCCAGTGTCTCTGATGTCAACAATCAGAAAAAAGGTGTATTGTTTTTTAAAACCGTTTTAATGTTTATTTATTGGGTTATTACATGTAAGAAATCTGTATTTAACCCTAATTATGCACTTAATTTAGTCCTTTACAAAAATCACGTCACTTCAAAGACAGAAAGAAGTGAACATGATCACTTCAGTTGAATGTGTCTTTCACATGTAACTGTCTGTCAGCCAAACACACCAACATGTTGACATTTCATCCTGACCTTTACTGTGAAAGGTTATATGCGCTCTAAATCCAACCTCTTTCAGACAACGTCAACATTCAACAAAACGAAGTTGCATCTTTAGGTACAGAACAGTATTACCAGAGCTGCTTTGATTTCAAGATTACCCCAGAGATGAACTAAGCACACCCTGCAGCTCAACATGAATCTGCATGGATCTTAAATCAGAAGGTTATGCCGTTCCTTTATAGCAGAGATGGCATTTCAAATGGAACATAAATTACACCACACATTCTAAGGAAACAGTTTAAGGGGCAATAATTCTTTGTGAATTTTCAGTTTAACAAGGGCATGTTGTATAGTGCCATCATTGTTCATATCCCTCTATTCTTGACAGAGTGAAAAAGAAATGCTGCAGAAATATTGCTGCTGACTTGAGCAGAAACCCAAGCAAAAAAGTAGTAGCCATTAGACATTGTAAGTTGGACACCGAAAATAATAAATGTATTTATTTTAAAATCCAATAATAAATGTACAATTTCCCATGTCATGACTTACTGACGAAGGAGGTTTCTCCCAGGTAGCCTCTGCGTTTCAGCGTCACCTCCAGAAATTTGGAGTCCTCGTCCACCAAATAATATTCCCTCTCCAGAGAGATCCAGGCCCAGTTGAGCCTGAATGGCTGAGGCTTTAGTTTGTTTCCACCTAAAAAAAAAAGAAAAAAGAAAGATTATTGCACCATTTCATTATTTGAAAGATCTTCTTCACTGTACTGTGCAACAATGATACAATGTAGTTTGTTCATGTTAGAAGCCACTGAAGCATACCAACTAAAATCTAAAAACAGATAAAAGGAATCAAGGGGGGCATTTTAAATTAGGGCTTCACTAAACCTAATTTCACCTTCTACCTCATGCTCTTTCCTCAGCCTTCAATAGGGCTTGTGTAGCCATATATATGCATGGTTTTCATGCAGAAAAAAACTCAGTCACAGTATAATATCTTTAAAGAGCTGACCTTTTGGAAACCTACCTTACCTAGTAGTTCACACTCTGTTGCTTTCCGTCTTGGACAACAGGAATTCATTTTTTTTTTCAGGACACAGAGACCATCATGGCTTCTTTTACACTCCATTAGGGACCTCAAAAAGGTGAGCGCAAAAATACTTGCACACTTAACACTTTCTGGACCACAAGTGGTTCCATTAAACAATCTGAGTGGACAAGAGGCAGTCCATGAACGTGCTAATGATTCAAATTAATTGTTTACTCAAATATATATCTACATCTGGTTCCTTAGAATCACACCAAAGCCTGTTGTGCTGTTTCACTGCATATCAGCAGAGCTGTGATATTACCATGCTGATATTCAGCACAACAGCGTGATGTCATATTGCTTGACTCACTACAACTACTTATATGACAAACTCAGCAACTAATTCTTTACATATTGGGAGTGGGACTTAAAACCTTTCAGAACATTAAAAACATCCGAAAAAAGCCATATTCAAAGCTCATAGTCACCTTCAACTGATCCACAACTTTAGACCCAATCCTGTCCTTAATCCATATACTATCTCATGACTCATGTAATCCCTCAAACTGTCAACTCAATTTTGGTCATTGACTTGGTACTTCAGAGATATTTAAGATTATGGGCTCTCCAACATAATCTGGATATATTTTTTTAACAACAGGAGAAAAGGGCCCTAATGTCTTATCCCTCAGAGAGATGAGCCTAGTGAACTGTGACTTTTGATGTGAAATGGGTCAAGCCTGATGGGCTCTTTGGATCAAGGACGTTAGAGAGGGCCGTCTCTCTTTAGTTTCGCACGGCTGGCCACACTGTTGACCTGACGCTGCTGGAGAATCTTGGAAGGGAACTTCACTGGGTCAGTGGAAAAGTTCAGCAGTTTGGTAGGACAAATTCTTTAAAAAAAGAGCGACATGTATTTATTTTGTCTAATTCACATCTGTGAACACCAAACAAGTCGACGTATCTTGGAAAAAAAAGTGTCCAGGGAACAAAGGAAAGGGACATCTCCCTGAACTAACAATAGACCAGCATCAGGCTCGGTTTTGGCTCAGTGAGAAAGAAAGAGGCTGCACTCCTTCTGCTGTGTGGCTGAAGAGAATGAAAACACTGGGGGGTTGAATGTGGGTATTATGGATCATGGGAAGGGGGAGTACCTTCTCAAACCCACATGTCAACACTGAAGCCAAAGCAGGCTGAGACACAACAGGGGGAAATCACACTCAAGAGGATCTAGAGCATGTTCAGATGGGGCTGATAGCAACAAGTGGATTTTGTGGGACACTAATTGTACTTCATCACATCTCTACTGGCAGCAATAATCAAGATAGTACAAAGATTTGGCATTAGACTTAAATGTATTTTTTCCAAATTATCTTCAGAAAAAACAGACAAAGATTCTAATAATTAGAATACTTCTTATTTTACAGGCATAAATTGCTGCTAGTAAAGTGCCTGGTAAAAAGCAGGAGAGCATAGAGCAGGAGAGCCAGACGGGTATAACCCCCCCCTCCACCAGACTCCATACTCAGGTTTCCAACAGTCATGGCTAAAAATACAGGAAATATTTGTTATGGCTATTTTTGCTTGCCCTTTTTTTCTTTAGGCGCTGATAAAGTACTTGCAAATATAATAAATAAGGAGAACATACTGTATGACTATTGTGTCATACAAAATACAAAACTCTAAAAGATTATTTTGGTAAATGTATCCAAAGTCCTGACTGATTAGACTTCTGTGTAATCTACGCTGCTTCTCATGTCACGATTGGATGAATTACTTTATAAACCTCATCTAACCTCAGACATTTTCTGATAAGGCCTGATGTACAGTTCCACAAAGTCTTTGACACACTTCATTAATCAGATGGTTTCTGCTGAAAGTGTTTCCTGGCAGTCTGCCCTATTTGCAGCTGATATGGAGTGAAGCTTACTCAGTGGCTATCATCATGGATTATCAAATGAACACTGCAGATACAAAAGCCTGCCTCTGTTTTGGCATGAGGCAGTCAGGCAGTTTTACATTTCATCGTTACAAGGCGTAAACCATTGGAGTTGTTATGGATGAGGGCAGCCCCATGTGTTTAAAACTTTTGGGATGCCAATATCCTATTTGTTATGTCAGGCTCCCCATTTACAGAGGCTATAGTCCTCATTGAAGCAGCTATGGGTTCTGATCTGTCTTTCCCTTTTGCTGCATGTCATCCCCCGCTCTCTCCTCCCAGCATTTCCTATATCTCTCTAAGACTGTCCTATCAAATAAAAGGCAAAAATGCCCAATGTTAGATCAGCTCTAACAGTAGGGATCTTCATACCACACCACCAAGTTTAATAAAAGGCAGGCATTCAGTTCTACTGTAAACTTGCCCACAACCAAACAGCACCTAAACCATCACTTTCTTGACAGGGGTAATAACTGATTGAAAAAAACTGTAGCCCATTATATAAATGTTATACAGATGTAACAAGACATATGTCATATAAGGTTATCAGGGTTTCAAAACTTTAACAAGTTTTAACCTTTACAAAATATGTTGTTGTATAGAATTTACTCATTTACAAAGCTGTTATGAAATATTACATTTCTTTCATGTCATAGAGAACAAATATTAGCAAAAGGTCCCTAGCTGAAATCTGAGGCACATCTTGAGGCATCAGCTGGTACCCAGTTTTCTCATCTTTTTGCTTTGATCTCCAAGGTCAATATGAACCCTTTAGTCTGAAAAATACTGTCCCTTTTGAGCTTAATAGTCAAATAACCTTCAAAGGTTTATGAGTGATCACACTACATTTTAACCAACGGGACTGGGGAGACCAGTAAATAACTTTCATCGGCCATTTCTTTGACCTCCCCAATCAGTGGCTTTATTACACTGTGTGGTCAACAGGTGCTGTTTCTTTGCTGTACAAGCAGTACAGGTGGTTACCTTTGTCCAGAATAACTACTGTCAGTGTTCAAAATTTCAGTTTCCCATAACGGTTTATTTCCTCCAGCCTTTCCTCATCCTTCCCAAGAAATCTCAGGTTGTCTTGTTCATTATTAAAGAAGTCAAAGCTGCAAATATGAACATGAAGTCAAAAGGAGGACCTCTCTCTGAGTCTCTCTTCCTCCCCGCCAGACTCCTAGATTATATGGAGCTGAGTGACAGCTGTCTTCCTCAACCCCCTCTCCCCCCTTTTTTTCCCCTCCCTCCCTGTGGCTTTGTTCACTGAGGGGACGGACAACTGAGAAGGACAGCAGGCTGCAGTCTGGGTGGGCCAGATCCACCAGCAAGGCATGCCTCCTTGCGTGCCTCCACATTGTTCTCACAAGTGTAAAAGAGGAGGATCTCCCCTTCTTTTTTTATGGTTTCTTTTGTACATGTTGTCAGACACTGAGGACTGAGCTGGCACGAATCTCAACAAATCAGGTTATAATCAGATTGCTAGACTTGCTGGGATAACACAGACAGAGTACAGAGAAAAAATAAAGTTAAAAGCCTGCGAGAAAAATTGGTGCAAATAAAAGTGTCAAAATAGCAGCTCTGAAAGGAAAGAAATGATTTACCGCCAGTTTTTTTTTTTACCACACTATAACTAAATTAGACAGGCTATCGAATCCAATACACTCTGTAGCTACCTGCCTTGGCTCAAATTCCCATTTGCTAAAAAAAAAAACTGTCAATCATCATAATTTCTGCTGAGATTAAAATTTTTATGGGCTGAACACGTTTCTTAATGTCCCTGTTAGCAGCTTTTCAATTAATTAAATCAATATGATTGATGCAAGTCACTGACAAGACCAGGAAATAAATATTAAGAGGTATGATGATGGTGTTTCCTCTTTTAGCACCTAAGTGAGCCTGCTAGATTTCGATTAAAAGGTACATGACTCATTTTATTGAAGAGATTGACATAGTGGTTATAAAGGTGCACATGCAAATCCGTTTTGGTGCAGAATTCAACAATAAAACTAAAAGTTCAGAAAATACAAAAAAAAGTGCTCTTTGTGAAATATCATCTTTCAAATGTCCTGTCTCAGCAGAACAATATGAAAGCGGAAGATTTTCCTTGCTCCAGCGTCCTCTGACAGCACATTCTTCAGCTCATATTTACACAGCAGTGCCGCCTGCTCCATACATAGATGCAGAGGGATTGTGGGTCACTGGATAGGAAGGTCAATACGAGGCTTTGACGTTCACCAGCATGATGCAAGGAAGAGCAACCTTCTATGAATATCCTCATCAAGTGACAAGCATCACCTTTATGGCATTTCCTCATTAATCATCGTGTTGATATAAATAAAGGGCAGTTTGCAGTCAGCTATGATTGGTATTAAAATATCAATGTTTTCTAAATGTGGTCTTTTAAATCATGAAGATGCTAAAAGTATATTTAGAGCGAAAAAGTTAAGTGTTAACTTTCCTTTTTTTGTAATTCCATAATATCATAATCACAATAGAAAGACATGTCTCAAATAGTGAGAGCAAGCGTCCTCTCTGCCTTCCAAAGAATTCATGTTAGGAATGCTACATGATTACATGTATTAATAACTCTTATCCCTCCTTCCAGTAACAGCAAGTGCTGTAAATTGACACATCACAGTCTAGATACCTGCTTCAGTTCATGACAGAGCTGTGATCTCTGCAGGATGTTGTAAATCATAATTTGACTGGGCCTGAAAGCCACATCCAT